GGATCCAAGTGTAACCAACTGTTACTAGTAATAATCAGATATATAGAGATTAGAGATGCATGTGAAAACATCTAAGTGTTCATAGCAGTAAAAATGAGTTTTTCTATAGGAAACAGTATACTTTAAAATGAAATGGAGATCTTTTTTAAAGGTTAAAACCTCACTCAATTTTATGTCTTACAGGGTTTATAGGGAGTTCAATATTGCATGACTGTATTAATTCAACTATGAACCTAAAAATTTATAGCCGCCTTTGAAAGAGATGTATCCTTCCTCTGGAATGTGTTACTGAATATGTTAAAGCTGTTATGAAATGCAAAAAAAATTTAAAAAAGACTTTTCTGAGATACTAAAAGTGAACCACAATGGCTTTGAACATTAGTTTTGCTACTGACTTCATAAGGGTTCTTTATTAAATTTTAATTTTATGTGCATGAGTGTTTTGAATTCATGCATCTAAGTGCACCACATGTACACAGTGTCTACAGAAGTCAGAAGAGGACAAAGGATCGCCTGGAACTGGAGTTTTAAGGAGTGGTTAGGTGAGTGCTGGGAACCGAACCAGGGTCATTTGGAAGAACAGCCTTAACCTCTGAGCCATCTCTCTAGTCCCTCATACAGGCTCTTAAGGAACTGAATCTACAATTATGAGAAACTTGCCCTTGTAGGCAAAACTTATGCTATGGTAAAGTAATATTGCTTAAATCATAAATAATGTTAAGCTTCTTAAATTTTTTCTGGGCCATCAAAGGTTAAAAATAAGCTACACACATTTGCAGTGCTGGTATTCCTGAGTGCAAACACAATTCCAGTAGTATGATTTGGACTTTGACGTGAGGAGGAAATGATTTTCCTATTTTAAAATCCATTTAGCTAGGAAATTAATCGAGAAGCGTCCATCTAATTTTCAATTGCAAGTGATTAATCTGCAATGTAACCACATATTAAAAAGCAAGCATCAAAAGAAAATTCTAATAGAATTCTATAAATGCTTGCCAAGTCACAAGCATGCTCAATTAAAATTGTATAGTTGTGGACAGATATTAGTGTCTGGCAATTCCTATCCATGTAAAAAGACATTTAGCAACATGAAACAGATAAAATCTCATTTCATATCAGCATTAATAGATAAATGTTTACTATAAATTTTGATACTAGAAAACACTAGTGAAATCAAATATTTTCCTTTTCCAATATTACATTCTTTTTATTGGTAGATTTATATTAAAATGTTGCTTAATTATTATTCCATTTTGAATTTGATCAATAAAATTTTTGTATGTTTTTACCCTCTTGCTATATACACACATGTATAATATACCTAATCTTGCCAATTGACCAGAAAGACCAAACCACTTATTCCTTGTTCCTTTACTGAAAATGTTTGCTGACCTTGGGTGAAGCACCACAGGGTTGGTGTTAGACTACTCCACATTTAGAAGCCCCACACAGCTGGTCTTGGACTGAATTGCTCTTCTGATATGACTTGACTCTTCCTCCAAAGGGCTTTTGCGCACATCCCTCTCCTGGCTGGACAATCTCTTCTGGTCGTCTCTGTGAGCACATACTACCCACTTCTACCTGGTAGATGCTTCAGCTCAAAAGCAGCTGCCTCTGGGGCCCCTTCCTGAACCAGCTACCTGCTGCAAGCACCCTGCAACTGGACAGTCTTTCATCTTTGTTTTCCTGCTAGAATGTAAGCCCCGTGATGTAAAAGTGACAACTTGCTGAAACCTGGAAGCGTCTAGAATCTAGCATTGTGTGAAGCTCATAGTGATGTCAATCACACACTTATTAAATAAATGTGAGCTGAATGGGTGAGAAAGAAACCTGAACTCTTCTGAAGTGTAAAGCAGTGCTTTGGTAATTAGCTCCCTAACTCTTTCCATACTCTCAAAAATCCCTTCCTTAATTTTAGCACCACACTTCACTCTGAATTGATCATGCCACCAAGTCCCGCCCCCTAGCCCTCTCTGTACACAGCTGCACAGTTTTCTGGACAGGGCATAACAATATGAACACACCTCTACTTTGTGTCTTTAGACTAAATTCCCAGAACTAGGCAAAGAGGCATGAAGACTCGGTTCATACAACTCTATTGTGAAGCCTTCTACTCTCACTGGGCATGTAGTCCTAGCACTCGGGAGGTAGAGGCAAAGGGATCTCTGTAAGATCCGGGCCAGTCTGGTCTGCAGAGTGAGTTCCAGGTCAGCTGGGGCTATAGAGAGACCCTGTCTCAAAACAAAACAAAACAACAAACAAACAAAAAACCAAAAAGATAATCTGTTTTCTAGGAAGGGAAGAAGGAGTCCAGGGAAGAGATAAGGACAAAGAAAAACTGTCAAATTTAAGAAGAAAAGAAAACAAAATATTTTTTTCTTTTTAAATTTTTCATGCATTCCATTTTGGGTGTGGTTATTTCTAGTGCCTATCTGGTCTTGGTTTCAGGGTGCTGAAGTAGTTCATGACACTACCAACCAGATTTGGTGTCAGTCCATGTGGTTCTCTAGGCAGGATCTGTCTCACTGGGTGTAAGTAGGGTGCTGGGGCCTGGAGGCCACTGTGCTAGGATCGTTCAGCATTGTCAAATCTAAGTATAGTCTGTGTGCTTCCTAAATGTTAGGTATCATTGTCATAAAGGCATTTGTGTGTATATGTGTGAATGAGAGTGTGTACAGGTGCTGGTGAATGCACACTGTTCTGGTTTGTTTCTCCACTGCTGTGACAAAACTGACCAATACCAACTTGGGGAGGAAAGGGTTTATTTTTCTTACATCTCCTGGGTCACAGTTCATCAGGGAGCCCAAGGTAGGAACTTCAGGGCAGGAACCTGGAGGCAGGAGCTGGAGCACAGGCCATGGAGGATCACTGGTTACTGACTTGCTCCCCTGGCCCCTGCTCAGCCTGCTTTCTTATACAACACAGGCCCACCTGCCCAGGGGTGGCACCCACAGTGGGTTGGGCCCTCCCACATCACTCAGCAATCAAGAAGATGCCCCATGGACATGGCCACAGGCCAGTCCAATGAAAGCAATTCCCCAGTTGAGGCTCCCTCAACCCAGGTGAGTCAAGTTGACTAAAGCTATCCAGCACATACACGTTGCAAGTATGTGTGGAGGCCTAAGGCCAACCTCAGGTATCGCACCTCAGGTGCTGTCCACCATATGTTTTGAGACAGGGTCTCTCATTGGCCTGGAGCTCTCCAAATAGGGTAGATTGCCCAGCCAGTGACTCTCAGGGGTTTGCCTACCAACTGGATTGCCCAGCTCTGGGGTTATAAGGCTCTCACTGTGGTTTTCCTCTCTGTAGAAGAAAAGCACAGGAAGTGAGGCATGATGGTTTGAGACTTGGGAAGGAAAGTGTTGTTGCTGGTCAGGTCTGAGTGAGACAGAGGGCACAGCGTCTCCACCCTCGGGTTCTAGGGATGGTGGGAAGTATTGCGTGAAAGTGGGATGTCACATGACATTCAAAGTGGGTTCCATGAAACACTGGTCACTTGGGGGTATTAACAGGTGCGAATTTGAAAAGAAGATCTGCAGTTGGTCAAATTTAGGTTAATTGTTCTCAAAACAGTTACAGACCAGGAGCATTGGCGTTACCCTGGAAACCATTAGAAATGTGTATTTCTGGTTTCTTCTATAAAGCTTAGGAATGTTTGGAGGCTTGGAATGAGGTTGATCCCCAGTACTGTGAAAGACAAAAAAGTGGACTGGCCATGTGCTAACAAGTGACACCATAGTATGTGAATTTGAAGACTGTCTCTTTAGGAGGAATCTGCTTAGGATAAGGCCACATGGGTTTCTCGCCTGTATATTTTACTCCTGTCATCAGCAAGCTAATGCTTCTATGACTCTCTAAATCTTTAAAAAATTTTTTTATTTTTAAACACTTTAATATTCAGACATGTTAATGTGTTTTGATCAAACCCACCCCCCATTCTATCCTCTCCAAATCCCTTCCCTATGCCATCCCACTTTCCCTCCCAAAATCATGTGTGCGCTCTCTCTCTTGTCTTAAAAAATATCCCGAGTCCATTTAGTGCTGCCTGATGTGCCTGTGCATGGGTGGCCTCTCAGGGCTGTTTCCCTGAAGAAAACTCATTGTCCTTGCCCCAGCAGCCATCAGTTGCCAACAGCTCCTCAGACAGGGGTGGGACTTCAAGAGCCACTCCCCTAACCATGCTGGGATTTCGGCTGGCTTGATCGTATTCAAGTGTCGTGCCCGCAGTCCCAACCGCTGTGATGCATGTGTGCAACTGCACTGTCATGTCTGGCAAATACTGCTTGCCGTAAACGTCTACTCCTTTTGGCTCTTACAATCTTGGCCCCCTCTTCTGCTGGGATCCCTGAGACTTGGTGGGAGGGGATGTGATACAGATTCTTCAGGAACAAAACACCATCTATATTTCCCACCTACAACAAATCAGGCTCTGGAGGCCTGTTCTCACAGGTCATCCCTAGGGGCCACTGCTTTGAGATGCTCACCCCACAGGTCAGATACACAACAGCACTTCTCTGGATTGCCAGGAGCTAGGGAGTCTGCAGTTCCAGTCCACACACTCACACACACACACACACACACACACACAGGCACACTCTTAAATTAAGAAAACTATGCAGACAGGCTCAAACCACCTCTCTCCAGCAGCTCAAGTGGAACATGACTATTTCCCAAAAGGCAGGTACAGCCTTGCAGTACTCCTTATCTCCATAAGATGGTGCTCCTACTTTTACTTAGTCTTAGTTTCTAGCTGAAATTTCAGTATGGACAAGGGACCAACATTGCAACTTAAGATACATGGCTTACTAAGATGGTTTCATACAGCTGTGTCTGCAACAGTTAAAAATTTTCATTCTTGGTCACTGAAAAATAATGAATATTCACAACATGTTGTACACAAGAAAAATTTTATTTTTCAATAATAAATCTATAGTTCCTGGGCCAAGGGAAAGTGGTAGAAGAATTACATTGAAATGTGAGTGCACAATCACTATGCCATCTCAGCTGTCTCCTTTTGATGGGAGGGAAAATATTTAGTGATTAAGTTATGAGCAATCACTATGGCCATTTAACCAGATTTGAGATCCCTGATCTGCTTTGTAGAGAAACCAGGACTTGAGAAGACTTTTTTCACAGATGCAAATTTAATCCTGGTGGTTTTAAAAAGGGAATAGGAAGCACACTTTACCAAGACATCAAAACAGTTTATCTCCTTTCCTGGGGGTGAAACTGGGGCAGAGTAGGTTGAACTGCTGCTTAAAAGTCTCATTTTAACTCTGTGGCAGTATTCTTGATAGGGCTGCCACAGTTAGCAAGTAAAAATGCAGATAACAAATTTGAATTTCATATACGCAACATCTTACTTTTATTATTAGTTGTGGTATTTTGGGTTTTTGAGACAGGGTCTAGCTATGTAGCCCAGGCTAGTCTCAAACTCCAGATTCTCTTGCCTCCACCTCCTGAGTGCTGGGATTTCAAGGGTATACCCACACACCAGGGAATATACTATTTAAAAATATATAAACATCCCTTAGCAGTCTTAAAGAACTAATAAAAAAAAAAAAAATACTGCAGTTTGTTTGAAATTCTAACTACCTAGGCATCCTGCATTTTATCTAGTCACACTGTTCCAGAGTGAGACTTACTTTCCTAATTCTCTTCCTTCTCATCTCTGACTTACAATTTCCAGAGATGACTGAGGCAGAACTGGGAAACTTCCTATTTCTTCAGGTCTTGCACTGGTCTCAGAACTTATTGGGAGAGCTGTGGAGAGGAGGTTTCTGCCCTCATGTTACATCAGAAGCCCCATGGAGCTGTTGCCATGCTGCCCCCTCTAGAGGTTTAGATGGTGAAGGGACCTAGGCTGGCTCTTAAACCCCCCCAAGCGGTCCCAGTACATGGCCAGGGTCCGTCCCGTTGCCTGCATTCCAGTGCCATGGGCACCACACCCCATAGAGCCAGAAAAGGGATTACTGTAGAAGCTATGTGTGTACCCCTAACTGCCCAGAAAAATATCCCCTCATTATTCAACCATTTTGCTAGACTCACAGAGGTCTGACTAGACGTTGGAACCACACATATACCAGAAGCTTCCTCCTAATCACCTGAATGGCTCAGTGAGCCTCTCCTGTTTCACCACCTATAATCGCTCCTCCCTGGATTTACAGCATACATTTTCTCCCTGGCACACTGCAAAGATGGTTTCAGGAAGTAGGAAAGTACACGTGATCCTTTAGTATACCACCACCATAGTCACAAAAAGAAAGACAGAGCATGAACCAGCCCCAAGCACTCTGCAGCCTCACCTGTGACTTCTTGATGTCAGAGACGGCGTAGTTCCCTTGTGATATCCATCTGGCAGATTCGGTTAGAGACAGGCCGGTTCCATACAGGTTGATGCTAAACCGCCCCTGGAACATATGTCCAGCACAAGATTTTCAGCCCATGTGACTTACTGGATAAAGGCAAAGCTGACACATTAAAGGCACTTTGGTGAGGAGAAGGATGTTAATTAATTATGATAACTACTAATTACCGGAGGTTATTTTGTTTTTTGATTGTCAGAGCCTGGCATTTTTCGTTCATCATTTCATTTATCCTTGCAAGAGGCAGGGGATATTCTTTACAGGTGGGGAAACTGAGGCCCAGAAGTGATTAACTCCCACAGGACACAGGAAGAGTTCAGCTCATACCCTGCTGACTTCCAAGTCCTCACTCGCGACTTGCTCCCTTTGGCCTCCGTAGCACAGCAATCCTAATGTTGCTCACAATTATCAGATTCCTTCAAGACCAAAATGCCACAGCCTAATTTTTCTAACAAGATCTAGCTGCCAAAGCTTCCCCAGCTTCCAGCTCCCCGGGGCTGAGAGCACACTGTGTTACCCATACAGCTGGGCCGAACTTCAAGGCGGAGGCGCGTTCCCCAGAGAGGCCAGCAGAGGGCGCGCTTGGTCTGTCCAAGATCTCCAGCTCAGTGGCACACATCCCAACCCTCCCCAGGGGTGTCTTTCAAAATGTGGCCTGGGCGCTTTGATATTTATCTCTAAGGAGCTAGTGCAGTACAGACACCCTGGATCAGTCTCTGTTTCTCTTTCAAAAGATCCTCCACGGTGGGCGGTTTTAGAGCGTGAAGATACTCTTAAGATCGCTTCCTCCCAGACTCCCAGAGCTGAGAACAAATGCCAAGTTTTCTTTTTCTTTTTTTTTTGTCTTTTTGAGACAGGGTCTCCCTATGTAGCCCCAGCTGTCCTGGAACTCACTGTAGACCACACTGGCCTTGAACTCACAGAGATCCGCCTGCCTCTACCTCCCAAGTGCTGGGACTACAGGCGTGCGCCACCACGCCCGGTGGGAAACGGGAAGTGTTTTATAAAGCAAAGGGAGCGTGGGAGGTGGTAGGCAGAGCTAACTCCCCAGCGGTGATTAGATTCTGGAGAGAGTTTTTTCAGCTTCCTAAAATTTCAGCTGGTCCATCTGTAAAATGGAAGGTGATATAATAAAAGTAATCCCTCTCATTTACTGTAGTGAGGAATAAAAGAAATTAGCCACATATAAACTGGGCTGGGCAGTGAGTTCCAGGTCAGTCTGGGCTACATAGGGAAAACCCGTCTCAAAATGAAACAAAATAAACAAAACAAAACCCCAGAAAAATAAGTATCTAAATAAACAGATAGGTGGGGTGTGGCTTTTACTTAATGGAGATACTAGTGTCTGTAACAAAAATCCTAGTATCTGTTCTGTATTTTCTTTTTTTTTAAAATTTTCTTTTTAAAATTTATTTTATGTATATGAGTACATGGCCTGCATGCGTGTAAGTGCACCTGTGTTGTGTAATGACCCCGGAAGTCAGAAGAGGGAATCAGATCCCCTGAAACTGGAGTTACAGACTGTTGTTAGCTTCCCTGTGGGTGCTGGGAATCAAATCTGGGTCTTCTGCAAGAGTAGCACTGGCTCAGCCCTCTTTCCAGTCCCCGACTTGTCCTGTATTTTCTAATTGCTTCATTCTTGTTTTCTTTGCCCAATCCAATAGTAGTTTATTTAGGGTACGGGCTTAATATTAAGTCATCTGTTTATATTAATTTTTGGTGGTAACATATGGCTAGACACTAGATAGATTTTTCCAGTAAGGATTGTATCACATATCTTCAGCTGAGAACTCAAGAATGAGGTGTAGTTAAGGGGGCCCTCTTCCTGCTGGCTCCAAAAATATGTTCTCATAAGACTTCCAAACCTTTGGGAGCTAAGGCTCTACAAATATGAACTGGGACAGAGGGTTTCTGTTCATGCAGTGACTAGTCAGTGATCCCCAATGGGGATGATGTGCCTTCAGGGGAAATTTGGCCATGTCTAGAGACAGTTTTGATCATCTCAACTGGTGGCAGGGGAGGGGTGTATGCAGCAGGGCATTGTGGGATTTCCTGACAGCACTGGGCAACTCAGCTACACAGAAATTTCCAGCCCAGGTCCCAGGTGTCCAAAGAGCAAGGGTAGATGAGAGTGCAAGGGTGGTATGGCACCTAACTCTTGACCTAGCAGAGAATAGGAGATATTTCTCACATATTTGGGGATTTATTTGTTTAAAAAATATTGAGACAGGGTCTTCCTGTAGCCCCAGCTGGCCTGGCACTCTCTATGTGACCAGGCTAGCCTCAGTCTCACAGAGATCCTCCTGCCTCTGCCTCCTGAGTGCTGGGACTAAAGGCATGCATTACCAAGCCCAGCTTTGGGATTTATTTTTGACGTCCGTACTGTGTAAATGTTGGTAGTCCTTACACTGAGTGGCCTCAATATCCAGGGCTTTGTGAATGTGACTCCAGCCTCCTCACCAAACTGTGCTTTCTATTGCTAGCCATTTTTTTTTAATTTAAAAAAATTATTTTTTTTAAGAGACAAAGTCTCTCTCAGGGCTGGAGAGTTGGCTCAGCAGGTGAGAGCATTGACTGCTTTTGCAGAGGACCTGGGTTTGGTTCCCAGCACCCACATGGCAGCTACCAACTTTCTGTGACTCCAGTTCCAGAGGACCTAACACCCTCTTCTGATATCTGTGTATATTACATGACATGGGTACATGTACATGTACCTACATTCAAGCAACATACTCATACACACAAAATAAAAATAATAGATAAAAACAGGCCAGCCTGATCTACAGAGCAAGTTCCAGGCAGCTGGAACTACAGGGAGACCCTGTCTCAAAAAAAAAAAAAAAAAAAAAA